GGTTCCTTCAGAGAAAGAAGGTTGAGAGAAACTGGTCAAAGAGGTCTCTATCTTTTATAATCCTGAGAGAGAATCCACCGGAAAGAATGATATTGGGGATATGTGACTATGGTTAGTTGGACCAACCTGAAAATTCTGGTGTTGTTAATTCTTCAATAAAATTCTCCAAATGGAAACCAGCAAGTCACTTGGCAACTACAGAGAAGCAAAGCACCAGTTTTAACTAAGGTTGCTCTTTTAAAATAACATTTTGCACCTATTGTGCAATTATCTGATGGGAAATATGAAAAGAACAGCGTGGTATTTTCTCTGACATTTAAATGTTTGCTTTCTAAAATCTCGTTCTGTTTATAAAGGGGGATTAGGTTATTTTGTTTGTTTTTTTTTTTTTTTTTTATATAAATTTACTTTATTTTGGTAGTATGTTTATAATGTACTAATAAAATGAAAAAAAAAATTCCAATCAAATATAAAAATATTACATATGCATATTTCATATCAACCATTTGTAGCCAGCAGAGGGTACACAAGAGCCAAAAACATTGTGGTATTAAGGAAACGGGTGTGCTGTAAAACAGCAGAAGATATCAGATTGCACACACATGTGAATGACAGAATGAAAGAAGGGACACACCCATTTCCGCTGACAGAAAGCCTCCAGATATCTCGAGTCTGCTGGAAATTCTAACAAGCTTTATGCCAAGAACCTGCGGTACATGCAGAGCACTTCTTTAACATCAGCTGGCCTTTCCTTGGGGGCTCCTTACGTAATGTCCAACCAGACCGTCCCAGCCTGCATCTCCTACGGCAAGTTCAACTACTACTACTACTTCAAGATCTACACCTGTCGGCACTCGCGTTCCTCCTTTCCCTCGGCACCATCTGTTCCACCTTCAGTGGGGCCTGGGCTGAAGATACAAGAGAGGCCAACCTCATCGTCTCAATCTTCTATCAAGTACGTGACAATTATTCTTTAAGACTTTCTACAACTTATTGATCGCGGTCAGGTTTTGTGAGCTGTAGGTTTCATGATTTTTAGCAAGGGTTCCTCAGAGAAAATGATTTCCCAGGTTCCTTCAGAGAAAGAAGGTTGAGAGAAACAGGTCAAAGAGGTCTCAATCTTTTATAATCCTGAGAGAGAATCCTCTGGAGAAGAATGATATTGGGGATATGTGACTGTGGTTAGTTGGACCGACCTGAAAATTCTGGTGTTGTTAATTCTTCAATAAAATTCTCCAAATGGAAACCAGCAAGTCACTTGGCAACTACAGAGAAGCAAAGCACCAGTTCTAACTAAGGTTGCTCTTTTAAAATAACATTTTGCACCTATTGTGCAATTATCTGATGGGAAATATGAAAAGAACAGCGTGGTATTTTCTAAGACATTTAAATGTTTGCTTTCTAAAATCCCGTTCTGTTTATAAAGGGGGATTAGGTAATTTTGTTTGTTGATTTTTTGTTTTTTGTTTTTTTATATATAAATTTACTTTATTTTGGTAGTATGTTTATAATGTACTAATAAAATGAAAAAAAAAAAAAAAAAATTCCAATCAAATATAAAATTATTACATATCAATATTTCATATCTACCATTTGCAGCCAGCAGAGAGTACACGAGAGCCAAAAACATTGTGGTATTAAGGAAACGGTTTTGCTGTAAAAGAGCAGATGATATCAGATTGCACACACATGTGAATGACAGAATGAAAGAAGGGACACACCCATTTCCACTGCCAGAAAGCCTCCAGGTATCTCCAGTCTGCTGGAAGTTCTAACAAGCTTTATGCCAAGAACGTGCGGTACATGCAGAGCACTTCTTTAACCTTGGCTGGCCTTTCCTTGGGTGCTCCTCACCTAATGTCCTACCAGACCGTCCCAGCCTGCATCTCCTACGGCAAGTTCAACTACTACTACTACTTCAAGATCAACACCTGTCGGCACTCGCGTTCCTCCTTTCCCTCGGCACCATCTGTTCCACCTTCAGTGGGGCCTGGGCTGGAGAGACAAGAGAGGCTGACCTCATCATCTCAATCTTCTATCAAGTACGTGACAATTATTCTTTAAGACTTTCTACAAGTTATTGATCGAGGTCAGGTTTTGTGAGCTGTAGGTTTCATGATTTTTAGCAAGGGTTCCTCAGAGAAAATGATTTCCATGGTTCCTTCAGAGAAAGAAGGTTGAGAGAAACCGGTCAAAGAGGTCTCTATCTTTTATAATCCTGAGAGAGAACCCACCTTCAGTGGGGCCTGGGCTGGAGATACAAGAGAGGCCAACCTCATCATCTCAATCTTCTATCAAATACGTGACAATTATTCTTTAAGCCTTTCTACAACTTATTGATCGCGGTCAGGTTTTGTGAGCTGTAGGTTTCATGATTTTTAGCAAGGGTTCCTCTGAAAAATGATTTCCATGGTTCCTTCAGAGAAAGAAGGTTGAGAGAAACCGGTCAAAGAGGTCTCTATCTTTTATAATCCTGAGAGAGAACCCACCTTCAGTGGGGCCTGGGCTGGAGATACAAGAAAGGCCAACCTCATCATCTCAATCTTCTATCAAGTACGTGAAAATTATTCTTTAAGCCTTTCTACAACTTATTGATCGCGGTCAGGTTTTGTGAGCTGTAGGTTTCATGATTTTTAGCAAGGGTTCCTCTGAAAAATGATTTCCATGGTTCCTTCAGAGAAAGAAGGTTGAGAGAAACTGGTCAAAGAGGTCTCTATCTTTTATAATCCTGAGAGAGAATCTACCGGAGAAGAATGATATTGGGGATATGTGACTGTGGTTAGTTGAACCGACCTGAAAATTCTGGTGTTGTTAATTCTTCAATAAAATTCTCCAAATGGAAACCAGCAAGTCACTTGGCAACTACAGAGAAGCAAAGCACCAGTTCTAACTAAGGTTGCTCTTTTAAAATAACATTTTGCACCTATTGTGCAATTATCTGATGGGAAATATGAAAAGAACAGCGTGGTATTTTCTCTGATATTTAAATGTTTGCTTTCTAAAATCCCGTTCTGTTTATAAAGGGGGATTAGGTAATTTTGTTTGTTGTTTTTTTGTTTTTGTTTTTTTTATATAAATTTACTTTATTTTGGTAGTATGTTTATAATAATGTACTAATAAAATGGAAAAATAAATTCCAATCAAATATAAAAATATTACATATGAATATTTCATATCTACCATTTGCAGCCAGCAGAGGGTACACAAGAGCCAAAAACATTGTGGTATTAAGGAAACGGTTTTGCTGTAAAAGAGCAGAAGATATCAGATTGCACACACATCTGAATGACAAAATGAAAGAAGGGAGACACCCATTTCCGCTGACAGAAAGCCTCCAGGTATCTCCAGTCTGCTGGAAGTTCTAACAAGCTTTATGCCAAGAACCTGCGGTACATGCAGAGCACTTTTTTAACCTCGGCTGGCCTTTCCTTGGGTGCTCCTTACCTAATGTCCTACCAGACCGTCCCAGCCTGCAACTCCTACGGCAAGTTCAACTACTACTACTACTTCAAGATCAACACCTGTCGGCACTCGCGTTCCTCCTTTCCCTCGGCACCATCTGTTCCACCTTCAGTGGGGCCTGGGCTGGAGATACAAGAGAGGCCGACCTCATCATCTCAATCTTCTATCAAGTACGTGACAATTATTCTTTAAGACTTTCTACAACTTATTGATCGCGGTCAGGTTTTGTGAGCTGTAGGTTTCATGATTTTTAGCAAGGGTTCCTTAGAGAAAATGATTTCCATGGTTCCTTCAGAGAACTGAAAATGATTTCCATGGTTCCTTCAGAGAAAGAAGGTTGAGAGTAACAGGTCAAAGAGGTCTCAATCTTTTATAATCCTGAGAGAGAATCCTCTGGAGAAGAATGATATTGGGGATATGTGACTGTGGTTAGTTGAACCGACCTGAAAATTCTGGTGTTGTTAATTCTTCAATAAAATTCTCCAAATGGAAACCAGCAAGTCACTTGGCAAGTACAGAGAAGCGAAGCACCATTTCTAACTAAGGCTGTTCTTTTAAAATAACATTTTGCACCTATTGTGCAATTATCTGATGGGAAATATGAAAAGATCTGCGTGGGATTCTCTCTGACATTTAAATGTTTGCTTTCTAAAATCCCGTTCTGTTTATGCAGGCGGAGAAGTCTTTAAAGGTGTTCCTGACTGTTCCTGAAATAGGAGAAAATATTTATAAACAGCGATCTTCAACGTACGAAAAAAAAATGTCATCATGTACGACTAACGAGCAAAACATTGCCAGCACAAACAATACATCAAACCCCGTGTCCTAAGACAAATCATTTCATGACTTCTCTAACATAGACAGTCTGAATATTTCATCCAAGGCAGGAAATGGATGAACAGGAGGCAAAAAATATAATCCAAATAAGGGTGACCTGACAAATGAATAGATACTACAAATCTCCAGTAAAGAGACAACACAGTCTAAACCAAAGTCATCCTTGAGAAAAATAGAAATCAACGGAGGTCACACACTGTAAAAGATAAACAGTCTGGGATTGTCTTCCAATTATATAAGAGTCTCAAACAATTTTGTATAGTTTACAGAAAAAAAAAAAACAGAAATTGAGTTTCTGAACAATTTGAAAAATAAGTAGACCGAGGGCCTGTGTTGATGGGCTTTTTCGAGATGCTTCTCTTCAGTTGGGATGAAAGTTGATAAAGCTCAAAGGAAGGTCATAAGCAAAGTCAGAAGGAGCTGGACTGCAGGTCAAATGCACCTGTCAATGATCTCAGAAGAATCTTAACCCCTTGCCTACCGGGCACTGTCACCCTCTTCCAGTAAAGGCCAATTTTCAGCTTTCAGCGTTGTCGTATATTCAATGACAATTGCGCAGTCTTGCAACACTGTACCCATATGAGATTTTTAAAAAAAATTTCACACACATAGAGCTTTCTCTTGCTGTTATTTAATTGCCACTGGGGGTTTTATTTTTTGCGCTAAAAAAACAAAAAAAGAGCAAAAAATTTGTTTCTATCATAAAATTTTGCAAACAGGTAATTGTTCTCCTTCACTGATGTGCATTGATGAGGCTGCACTGATAGGCAGCACTGATGGGCACTGATAGGCAGCTCTGATGGGCACTGATAGGCAGCTCTGATGGGCACTGATAGGCGGTACTGATAGGTAGCACTGATGAGGTGGCACTGATGATGCTGCACTGATATGCAACAATGATGGGCACTTATAGACAGCACTGATGTGCAGCACTGATGAGGTGGCACGGATAGGCAGCACTGATGGGCACTGATAGGCGGCACTGATAGGTAGCACTGATGAGGTGGCACTGATAATGCTGCACTGATATGCAACAATGATGGGCACTTATAGGTGGCACTGATGGGCAGCACTGATGAGCACTGATGGGTGGCACTGACTGCCGGCACTGCTGGGCACTGACTGGCGGCACTGATGGGCAGCACTGATGGGTGGCACTGATGGGGGAACTGCTGGGCACTGGTGGGTGTCACTGCTGGGCACAAGTGGGTGGCACTACTAGGCACTTATGGGCACAGGTGGGTGGCACTGCTGGGCACTTGTGGGCGGCACTGATGGGCACAGGTGGGTGGCACTAGTGGGTGGCACAGCCGGGCACTGATTATCAGTGCCTTAATGATCGGTGCCAATCCCTGCTCTGACAATTGCCCGTTATCAGCAGTACTTTCCTCACACTATGACAGCGTGAGAAGAGTGCAGCTGATAACCAGCAACTGCATTTGCCGGTGATCTGTTCTGTCATTGGACACAGCTGATCACGTGGTGAAAGGCTGCTGTGATGGGCCTTTTACGACATCATGTGATCAGCTGTGTCCTTAGGACACAGCGATCACGGAGATTGCCGGGGGCGTGTGGGAGGGCGCATACTGGGAGGACATCATATGATGCCCTCCCAGGACTGGACAACCGCGCTGTAACCATCATTCGGCTATAGCGCGGTTGCCAACTGGTTAAACCACTGTCAAATTCAAGAAGAATTTGTGTATAAATTCTAGAAGGATTCTCCTGGACGCATGTGGGGAGGTGCCACATTGTGCAGACAGTAAACACACAAAGTCCGGTTGCAGTAAAACTTGTATTAAATAGAATTCCAACATTACAAACACCCAAGTGGGAGTGCACCGCTAGGCAAATAACTCTCAGTTCAATGCAGTCAAATGTAGAGGAGGAGAGGTGCCGACAGCATCTGTTTCAGAGGGTGAAGCATAGCCTGGCCAGTCTGGTCCCAAGAGGGAAGATCCTTTCCAGGATAGTGAGACCCTAATATTTCCCTCTTTGTCAGGAACTTTTCCCTAGCACTAGTTACTTTCCCTTACAAGCAGTGCTTCTCCCCCTACACTAGCCACAAGCGTGCCAAAACCCAGAGGCAGTAACCTAAATAGACCCTGATGACCAAAGATGGCTACCAAGGGTCACATGGGCACATTGTCGCTAATCAGAACACTGACCCAGGAAACCATAGTGAAACATTTCTTTTGGACTTCCTCTCCAGGCTGAGCTGCTGCTTGGCTTGAGAACCACCTGCAGTGGAGAAAACAGACCGCTCCTGCCTACGAGCAAGCCCCACTTGGCCCTCAGCAGAAGGCCAAAGATTGTCAGCACAGGTCCCAACACTAGCTCCATCTTTTTTCTGGGTCAGGAGCGCAATGGATAAGATGCTCATTTAACTGCTGGTGAAATTTGGGTGGCAGGCAGCAGAAAAAAAAAAAAAACCTGACGAAAGGCTCTGAACCAGGGGTGTCCAACCTGTGGCCCATTGGCTGCCCGTGGCGGCTATGAATGCAGCCCAACACTAAATCGTAAAAGAACTTAAAAATGTTGATTTTTTTTTTAATACAATTACACTTAACAAACATATGTGGCTAAAGAAAAATGTGACAGTGTCTCTTTACTGGGCTTTTACAAGTTTTATCTCCTACTCTTCACAATCTCACCTTATTCAGGTCATCAGTTTTTCAGCAGCCCCTATATTTGTGAGCAAATATTATCAAAGATAAAGCACACGAAGGGCAAAATTAGAACGTGTTGAGAATTCATTGAGAATTGCTACTCCATCCACTCAATCAGATTGTCAAATATCGTGCTAGTTTTATGTTGCCCACTTTTACTTTTATAATAAAAAATATTACAACAAATAAAAATACTCAGATAGGTACATTATCTACATCAGTGATCGTTTTACTTGTGATCGGCTCCCTTTGAGAACGTGTGTGTGCACGAAACGCGGCAGGGAGGAGCCTATGTGCTGACGTCCATGTTTTTGGGTCCGTCGGCTATCTTTGTAAGTGCAGCCGCATGCTTTTTAACCCTTTGAGGACCAAGGGACGTATTTGTCCCATGTTTGTAATTGCGTGTATCATCTGCTTAAGAACTTAAAACTCTTTTTTTTTTTTTGGTTTGAGTCAAAATATTAGTTCTTATCAACAAACAACAAATGGATCTAGCTTTTTGCCAATTATTTCATGAAATGGCTTAGTTACAGCAACTGAAGTGTACGAACTGTAAAAACAAAAATATTGATTCTTTTGGCGTTCCAAAACCTTACGGTCCTGAAAGGGTTAAACTCCACGTGGATTGTATATGTTTGTTACAATTTTAAATACATTACTACACTATTTACCTCCATTTTGGGCGCTGTGTGGTGAGCTCTTTTTTTTTCAGGACATACCACTGATGGCTACGTACCAAGCCTAAGAGGAGGAAATATGTTTTCCTTGGAGTACCTTTTGTTGCAAGCCTTTGTGATCTTAGTTCTGGTGAGTGCATAGTGGTGAAGGATCTCACGGATGTCTTGTTCCCCACATTTGGATGCCACTTTCCTCTAGGACTGCGGTTCATACCTACATGGAAGAAAATATACATTTTAAACATAATTTTTAAATATTTTTCCCAAATATATTGACATATAGTTGAAATGCTACAATTTTGGCCATATTCAATATATTTAAAAAAAATAAAATTAAAAAATAAATAAATATATATATATATATATATATATATATATATATATCCATGTACAGATATAATCAAACAACCACAATATCCAGCGGAGTGTAGCTTTAGTATCAACAAGTTACATTGGTATGATATAAAAGGGGTACAAAGTCATGTATACCAAGGATATAACCATAGATTGCAGACCACAACATTTTCCAGATCCTTTTTTGAAAAAGAGTAGTAAAAAAAAAAAACCAAAAAAAAAAACAGATTTCAAAATAGGCTGGGAAAAAACAGGAGGAAAATAAAATAGCACGAGTTATAAAGTCAAAATAATTTTTAACAATTTGACAACAACAAAAACAAGAACCAAAAACCAGCTTTCTTCGAACTGAACTCCGAGAGTCAAACCTTCTCAGCTCATCCATGTGCAAAATAGTAAATAAAGAGTCTGATCTAACTTTTTGCCAATATTAGAGTTTTACCTGTATGGATACATCTATATTCTAATTCCTATTCAAGGGTTGATGAAAGGATAATTATCTCACAGTAGACCCAATGGGCTTCCACCGCTTAAAAGCCTGTCCTCAACCTCCCTAGTGGTCTGATTATGTCCATATTTCTATGCTCAAAGCGGTACTTTTTTTTTGCATGGAAATATGTTGTTTTTTTATTGTTGGCCTGTAATTCTTAGGAATAAATCACTGAAATCTGTCCGAACAAGAGTCTAGTAAACATCCCGGGGATGATAAAACTTGACACACAAAAATCATAAATTATAATATAATAAATAATCATAAAAAATAATAATATAATAATAAATTTAATTCAATAAAATAATCAAACCAAAAAACACTGAAATTTGAAACAGAGCGCCAAGTTCGCACATCGCTGAGCAAAGTCGCAGAATCGTTTTCAGTGTCTGATGATGAATTTCCCCCACGAATCATTATCACTCAATTCTGCAAGTGGTTCTGATTTACTATCGCTGTTCTCTAGCCGGTCTAAAACCGCTTTTGACCTAAAGGGACGCTTTTTTTGGACGCCATGGACGTTTCTCAGTTTCCAGGCAGAAAGAACAGTAAAAATGCAGGCAGGGCGCCGGACAAAGCACTCGGGACAAAATGTATGTGAAATGGTTTGATACAGGAATGGAATACTATCAGATTTTAGTATATTGAGTGAATGTCACATTATTACATTTTTTAATTTCCCGCCGGTTCTGACCCCCGTACGTCCCGACGCTCACAGGGAATGGAACCCAGAAGACAGATGCCGGCATCGGCCGGAGGACATAGCCGGGGACGCTGCAGGGGAGACATCTCGGAACCGCAGGACAAGGTAAGTGCTGGAGGGATCCCAGAGCAGCGTTGCAGTGTATTCCCGAGTGTAGCTCGAGGATACTGCTTCTAGTACTGAAACTTAACCCAGAGCTACACTCGGGAATACCGCCAGGGAGGTTAACTAATTGTGCTGGTGCTAATCCCGGTGTCCCCAACCAGGCATCAAAGACTTTTGGAAATTTCTGTGCACATCCCCTATGCTGATAAACAATTTTTTCTCTAATCAGAGTATCACTGACCGCTTTAATCGAAGGAGGTGAGGGCGATAACCGTTTCTGAGCTATGAGTTTCCAAGCAATAAACAGCACTCTAAGGATAGCTATATAGACATGTGGAGTAAACAGTTCCTCATCCAACATTCCCAATAGACAAAGCTTGGGATCTAATGGTACAGTAAGATTCCAAATCTTATTGAGCATTGTTATAATATGGGACCAATATCTTACCAATTTGGGACATTTCCAAAGCATATGGATAGACCCCTAACTTCTTAAGAGAGAATCCAAGTGGTACATATTGTTTTTGTTGGGACACTTTTGACTACTTCTATCTATGTATTTATACCCATCAGCTATAACGTTATGACAGGTAAATGAATGATATGGATTATCTTGCTACAAGGACACGTGAAGGTGGGTGGGACATAGCAGGCAGCAAGTGAAGATGTTGTCCCTGTAGTTCATATCTTGAAAGCAAGAAAAAAAAGCTTGAAGCAGAAAAAAATTGACATACCTAAAGATCTGAGCAGCTTTGACAAGGACCAAACTGTAATGGCTAGATGGCTGGGTTTAGAGCAACTCCAGAACTCCAAAACTGCACCTTTTGTGGGATGTTCCTGGTCTGCAGTGGTCAGGACCGACAAAAAGTGGGGTCAAGAAAACTGGCAAACTGGCAACAGAGTCATGAAGGGCTAAGGCTCATTGATAACTATGAGTGGGGGCAAAGGCTGGTCCATGTAGTCTGATCCAATAGAAGGGCTACTGGAGCTGAAATTGCTTAAAAAATGTAATGCTGGTTCTGATAGAAAGGTGTCAGAACACACAGGGCATTGCAATTTGTTGTGTATGGGGCTGTGTAGCCGCAGACCGGTCAGGGTGCTCAGGCTGACCCGTGCCCATAGCCAAAAGTGCCTACAATGAGTATCCAAGCATCAAAAC